CCCCCACTCCACCATCATCCCCGTCTACACAGACACCCACCCCTGACACACAGCACACACACACCCCTACTGTCACCCCCGTCTACACAGTCACCCACCCTCTCACACAGTGTACCTGCCCCCACTCCACCATCATCCCCATCTACACAGACACCCAACGCCACACACAATGTACCCGCCCCCACTCCACCATCACCCCGTCTACACAGACACACACCCCCATACACAGTGTACCCACCCCCACTCCACCATCATCGCGTCTACAGACACCCACCCCGACACACAGTGTACCCACCCCCACTCCACCCTTACCCCGTCTACACAGACACCCACTCCCATACACAGTATACCCGCCCTCACTCTACCATCAGCCCTGTCCATGCAGACACCCGCCCTCTCACACGGCACACATTCCTACTCCATCCCCCTTGCGTCCGCAGTCACTCTTCTATATGCCGATACCCCTGCGTCTCCGGCACATGGGGCGCCTGCCTTGTCTGTGTGAACACCAATCCTGTATCACTCACATACAAATAGGACTCCCGTGTCTACACCATTACCCTCATCTGCCCGGGTGCCCACCCACCCCTCTCCCATTCACACATCCCCACCCTGGCTACCCCAGCGCTGTCCTGTAGGTAGCCTCTCATGCCCCAGGCCCTGGACCTCCTGACCCCCATGCACAACGGGGAGAAGCATCCTCTCAACCACAAGGCATCCCAAGGGTCCTACAGAGATGAGACTTAGGAGCTCAGAGACCTCACAAACCGTGGCCACCACACGGCCAGAGGCATGTGGGTCCGACTTGGAGCCGCCCGAGGTACAGCAGTAGACAGTGGGGCACGTGTGAGGGGGCCTGTCATGCATGTGTCCCCTGTGGCCCACCTTCCAGGAAAAACCACGCTGATTAAGGCCCTGACCGGCGACGACGCTGTCCAGCCCCGGGATCAGCTGTTTGCAACACTGGACGTCACAGCTCATGCTGGGTGGCTGCCCTCCCGCATGGCTGTCATTTACATGGACACCATCGGCTTCCTCTCCCAGCTGCCCTACAGCCTGATCGAGTCCTTCTCTGCCACCCTGGAAGATGTGGCTCATTCGGTGAGTGTGGGATGATCCCAGGGGCCACCTTCCCTGAAACACCAGCATTACCTGGGGCCGGGTCCCCTCATACACAACACAACCCTGGGGACTGGGCCCCTCACACATGACACAACAGGGGGGCTGGGTCCCCTCACACACGACACAACCCTGGGGACCAGTTCCCCTCACACATGACAACCCTGGGGACTGGGTCCCCTCCAACATGACACAACAGGGGGCCTGGGTCCCCTCACACATGACGCAGCTTGGGGCACAGGTCCCCTCACACACGACACAACCCAGGGACCAGATTCCCTCACTCGTGACACAAGGGGTCCAGAGCCTCTCGTACACAACACAACCCAGGGCCTAGGTCTTCTCATTCACGACACAACCCTGAGACCGTGTTCCCTCACACACAACACAGTCTGAGGACCAGACCCCTCACACATGACACAGCCCAGAGGCTGGGTCTCCTCACCCATGACACAGCCCTGGGGCCCGGGGCCCGTCACACACAACGCAACGCAGGGATCGGGTCCCATCGCTCACAGCCCAGCCCTGGGGGCCGGATCCTCTCACTCATGACACAACGTGGGGACCAGATTCCGTCATACGTGTTGCAGCGCTAGAGCCTGGGTTACCCTCATACACAGCACAACCCAGAGCCCAGGTCTCACATGTGACAACCCCGGGGACTCCCGTCCCTCCCCTGTCCGGAAACTGGCGCCTCACTCCCCCTGACAGCGAGGTCTTCCTTGTGACCTCTTCCAAGACTGATTCCGGAAGGAGGTAGAGCCCCTCTGCAGGGAGACCTGGGACTCCTGCCCCTTAGCCCTCGGGTCAGCCTTCGTGTGCAGCTTTGGGGTGATGGGATGCAACGGCACGTGCTGTTGGGGTGTCCGCCAAAACTCCAACCTAGTGTCAGCACGAGGAAAGAACCAAACGCCAACTGAAATGCGTCCCGCAAAATGCCCACACGTGCTGAACGCAGTCAGGGTTCAGAGGAGCCTGGAGAGGTGACAGATGGACATGACACGTGTCCTGCCTGGCTTCCCGGGACAGAAAGGAATAGATGCGTGACTCTGGAAAGACAGGAGCATGCTGGTGTCACCCCTTGTCCGTGGCCTGTGCTCCCGGGAGCAGTGGTGGTGGTGGTCCCTGCCTCCCTGTTCGCCTTTTCCAAAACCAAACGTTTCTGGAATAATGCTTATGTTTTTCTTAATTCCAAGTGCCTTGAAAACCTGGGAGCAAACGTTGCAGAACATAAGCGGTCGGTCCCTCTGTTTCCAGGGGCAGAATTACAAGCAATTCTTACTCTTTCCCGTTGTGCGTTTTCCCAGTAATGTGTCGGATCCCTGCCTGTGCACCATTTAAAATCCGCCAAAAGGGGTTCTTCACGGTTCAAAGTAAGCAAGAGTCTGGAAGTTTCCCAGTGAGCGTGCAGGTGTAGAGCGGGACCCTGTGGGCTTTGAGACGCCTGAGACGCCCTGGGCCCCAGGCCGGGTGCAGGCGAGCGGCCCGTCCGGGGCGGGACCCCGCACCATGGCCCAGCTCCGGTGTCAGGGAGCTCCTACCGGGGCATGTGCCGCCCCGTCCCACCACCCCGTCCCCACCGCGTGGCTCGCCTGCTCCTCAGGATCTGATCGTGCACGTGAGGGACGTGACCCACCCTGAGGCGGAGCTGCAGAAAGCCTGCGTCCTGTCCAGCCTGCGCGGCCTGTGCCTGCCCGCGCCCCTCCTGGACTCCGTGCTGGAAGTGCATAACAAGACGGACCTGGTGCCCGGGTGAGTGGACCCACGCCGGCCACAGCCCCACGGCCCCCGCGGGGCCCCGTGACCCCACGGACCCACGGACCCCCCACGACCCCGTGACCCCACGGCCCCACGGCCCCCACATGACCCCGTAATCCCACGAACCTACGGCTCCCCCACGACCCCATGACCCCACGGCCCCACGACCCCATGACCCCACGACCCCACGCCCCCCCACGACCCCGTGACCCCACGAACCCACGGCCCCACAACCCCATGATCCACGGCCCCACGGCCCCAAGGCCCCCCCACGACCCCGTGACCCCACAAACCCACGGCCCCATGACCCCACGACCCCACGGCCCCCCCACGACCCCATGACCCCACGGCCCCACGGACCCCCCACGACCCCGTGACCCCACGGCCCCCCCACGACCCCGTGACCCCATGAACCTACGGCCCCATGACCCCACGCCCCCCCATGACCCCGTGACCCAACGAACCCACAGCCCCACGACCCCACGGCCCCCCCACGACCCCATGACCCCACGGGCCCACAGCACCCCCACGACCCCGTGACCCCACGAACCCACAGCCCCACGACCC